AAATTAAAACCACTTTAAGATTTCATCTTACCCCAGTCAGACTGGCTAAGATCAAGACAACAAATGATACCAAGTGTTGTAGAGGATGTGGGGAAAGGGAAACCCTCATCCACTGCTTGTGGGATTATAAACTTGTTCAAACCCTATGGAAAGCAGTGTGGAGAACCCTTAAAGGACTAAAAACGAACTTACCATTTGACCCAGAAAAAACACTACTCCTTGGCATATACCCAGAGAACTCATCCTAGTGCAGAGACACTTGAACATCCATGTTTGTGGCTGTTCTTTTTACAATAGCTAAGAGATGGACACAACCTAAGTGTCCCTCAACTGATGAGTGGATAATGAAAATCTGGTTCATTTATACGATGGATTTTTACTCAGCAGTAAAGAAACATGAAATCATGAAATTTGCAGGTAAATGGATGTAACTAAGAACTGTTATACTAAGTGAAGTTAACACAGACTCAAAAAAAATCGACATATGTTCTCCCTCATATGTGGATCCTAGAACCAAACCCTGATAAGTGAGTATGTATCCAGACATAACTACAGGAGCCAGGATAATGGAAAGGAACCAGGGAGGTAAAGGAAAAGAAAGAACCTGAAAGAGAAGAACAGTAGGAAACAGGCCTTAATAAGGGAGATATGGATAAAAATTGGGTCAGTTTAAGGGAGGGGGGAGGGAAGGGTATACAAGGAACCTAGGGGATAAAGAAAAGAAGGAGCTCAAGAGAGGTAGGACGGTAGGAGCAGGGTATTATTAAGGGAGAAAGGGGGGAAATAGGGACACCTTAAGTGGGAAAACTATGATGGAGGGGCAAGACAATGCGAGAGATAAATAACGCCTAGCTAGTTTTGAAAACCAGAGGGAATCATATTACTCCTACAACCTACTGACAAATTATACATAGCAGATCAAGAAATACATGTCTAGGTAAGGTTTATCTGAGAACAATTGGTCTTTGCCCAAGATTTAACTACATGTCACACAGTAATTAAAAGTACCAGACTGGTGGAACTAACCTTCTTGGATGTTTAACAGACATACTTTGAGGCCTATAATAATTTGGTCAGAGGGACATAAAGGATACTTTTTGCTCCTTGCCCTCCTAGGTTGACTAGTTCCAAGGGACTATGAGCATCTCTCAAATTGTTTTGTAATTGTGGTGGTCACTTGTCCTCTTGATCAAGGAGGTGGAGGAGATCCCACCAGATGGACTTGAACCACTGTCCAGTCTACAAAGAGAAGGATCAATACAGAGCAAACATTTCCTCCATGCTTCCATACAAAGCCAACCATGGTTGGGCAGGACCTTTGACTTATCTTCACATAGGCAGAACTGGTAAAAGAAAGAAGCCAGGGGCTCCTCCCAAGTCCATGTGACCCCTGAGAAACAGATCCTCAAACGACCTTAACAGTAAAAATAAATTGGTTTATCTAAGCCAACTGTAGGGTCTCAAACACTCAAAAGGAAAGTATAACCAAAGATTCAAGGGGACAATATAATTTTTTAAGAGTCCATATGTATAGTTAAAGGCTACGTAACGAGCAAAAATG